TTTTTAGATAAAAAAATTAGGTTTCTTATGCATATTTATCTATAAAACTAAATGAAAAATTGTTTATTATTATTATTATTATTATTATTATTATTATTCATTTGTATTTTTTATTTATTTCAAGATCCGATGCATTCTAATTTATTTGTCTTAATTTTTAATTATTCTTCTTTTAAAAAAAAATCACAGTGAAAAAATGTTTTTTTTTCGTACAAAGGTATTTGTCTTACAGCTTCTATTGTTACTCATTGTAGTAACAACAGCCTGGGGTCACACCATAGGGATTGATTTTGGATCAGAATTTATTAAAGTAGCAGGTCCTCATGGTGTGCAAAACATTGATATTGTTCTTAATGAAATTTCTCGACGAAAAACTGATAGCATCATTGCCTTTAGAAATGGTGAGCGTCTTATAGGTTATCCAGCCAAAAAAAATGCGGCTCGCTTTCCTTGGTTGACAGCAGGTGCAATAAATCGTATTATGGGCCTGAAAAGTGATTCTAAGGAATTTGATAATGTATCAAAAGATCTTTACCAAATGGATATCAGTTTTTCTGAGCGAGGTACTGCAGAAATTCCGATAGAAGATCCGCATGCTCCATTTTCTGGCGAAGAACTCTACTCGATGATATTATCATATTTATACAGGATATCCGTAAATGATGGTGTGCATGATCCAAAGGGTATTATGATAACTATACCATTTAACACATCTATAGCAGGAAGGAGAGCTATTTTAAATGCGGCACAGTTCTCTGGTCTTAATATTCTAGGGCTTATACACCCTACTACGGCCGCAGCATTTTATTATGGTGTGCGTCACCGTGGGTTTGGTAATCAAACACGTAACATCGTTGTTTTTGATATCGGTAGCACTCATACTGAAGCCGGTTTATTTACTTTCTCTCCGCCTGAGAAGTCGGGTGACTTTTCAGATTCCTTTGGGACACTTACTACTGTTGCAATCTTGGGAGATAACACTCTAGGTAGTCGTGCATTTGATATTTGCTTAGCTGAGATAATTGAGGAGGAAGCAAGAAAAAAGTTGAACATTGGACCTATCATCTCAGATAAAAGTAAAGGGAAGATGAGGTCTCTATTTTCATTACTTCGTGCGGCAAACGAAGTAAGGGAGATTCTTTCAGTGAATACAGAAGTACCTTATACAGTGGAAAACATTGCACCTGAGAAAGACTTTTCATCGTCTATCATTCGAAAAACTTTCGAAACAAAATGTGTCCACCTATTTGACCGTGTCAAAAAGCTAGCATCTGATGTAATTGCTCTTTCCACTCACAAAGTTTCGGAAATTAGCGCGTTCGAAATGATGGGTGGAATGGGACGCACACCGAAAATTATTTCCGATTTATCATCTGTAATTTCGCGCACTGTGGATCGCACTTTGAATATGGATGAGGCTGCTGCCTTAGGAGCCGCTTACTATGCCGTAAAGCTATCTCCTTTTTATCGCACAAAATCGCTCAAAATTATTGCTCAAGTACCTTATCCTATATTTTTTGTTGTTGAACCTCAACTCAATGAAAAGATCCCACTCTTTTATAGAGTGCTTTTCGAACATAATGCAACGATCGGAAGCTTGGCAAGCATTACTTTGAAACGCACGGAAGATTTCACTCTTACTTTTTCGATTTCTAACTCATCTTCTGACGTGTTTGCTAAAATTCATGTGAAAGATGTAAAAGCAGCTTTGGATAAGTTAAAGTTCGATAAGCCTTCATTAGTACATCCTAATAATTCTCACGGGGTGTACTTCCAGTTCAGATCAAACGAGTCTGGGCTTATTGAGATCGATAAAGCTAATGCTATTGTAAAACATGCTGCTAACATATCGCAAACTGAGTTTATAAATGTAACTGATGAAAATGGAAATGAAATCCTAGAGCCTAAGAAAGTCTATTCAATAGAAATGCGGCATCGTTCCGCTCCCCTTGATGTATCCTTTGAGTGGCTAAATCCACGTGAGTTAACTGATGAAGAACTATTGGCCTCCACTGAAAAAATATATGACATTCAGACCAATGAGAACCAGAGACATGCGGCAATATCTGCTAAAAATCATTTGGAGACTTATATTTTATGGGCAAGGAGTGAAGATGTCTTGGAGAACGATAGTATTGATCGTGAATTTCATAGGGTGAATCTAGAAAAGCTTACTGAAGCTTTAAACAGTGTGTATGAATGGCTTGAAAGTGGCCACGGTAGCACAGACGACTGCAAAGCAGAGGAGTATGGTGTTCAACTGGAAGCACTGAAGGTGCTGGTTTCTAAGGTAATGGAAGATCCTGAGCCCTCTGGAGCTCATAGCGATCCCTCAATACAAAATAATGACATAGAAGATGCAGGAGACCTTTGAGGGTAATGCTATCGTCAGCTATGTGATGGAATCTAAATGGTAAGTATTGCAATAATATGGTTATTGATCTTTGGGCTTTTTTAATTTCGTCATTTTTACATATAATCACACATTTTAGTCTTTGTATATGCTTTTAGCAGATCCAAAGATGCCCTTTTTACTGTCTTTATTTCTTAAAATCTATGAATTTGATTTCCCCTTTGACAGAAAGCTACATGCATTATTTCTAATATCTTTCTCATTGTACAATCCTTTCGTTACCTACTGGCTTGTGTTCAATATTAAAACAACAATCCACTAAACAATACAAACCAAACTATACAAATATTTTTATTATTTGAAGTTTAAATTAATTTCAGATTCGAGTAAGTAAAGAACCTTGTCCGAAATATGTTGAGACGACTTTGCTTAAGACCTTCATTTGCCGCTGCGGCTTTTCTTCGAACCTATGCCACGCGTTTGTACACTGATAGCCACGAATGGGTTGAATATGAGGATGGAGAGGCGACCGTTGGGGTTTCTCATTACGCTCAGGAAAACTTGGGGGATGTGGTTTACGTCTCCTTGCCTCAAATAGGGGATAGGGTTACGACACGAGAAGTTATTGGAGAAATGGAAAGCATTAAAGCCACAAGCAGTGTGTACTCACCAGTGGATGGGACCGTTTCTTCGGTTAATGAAGCTCTCATGAATGAACCAGGATTGGTTAATAAATCACCAGAGGAAAAGGGATGGCTTGTGAAAGTGAAGTGCGCTGAATCACCTAAGGGCCTTATGAATACGGAAGAGTACAATGTGTTCATAAAGGAATAATTTCTTGGAGGTTTTTTTAACTAAAATTTTGTGTAGGAATAATTTTTAACATATGCGTGGCGCATAAATATACGTTTAGTAGTTTCTAAAAATTACTGTCAGATTATTTATATTGATAAATATTCTTGTTTCACGGGATTTACACTTATGAAATAGGAGCTGAGGGTGCGCGTACTTCTTTCATCCATGAAGCCCAGTTAAAATCTCATTGGAAGTATAATTTAACGTTGCTTTATAGATAAGGGTAGGCTAAGTCGTATTGGGTCTTTCTCTATCGTGCATATCTTATTTATGAATTGAAAAAAATATTTATATTTTTATTAGATTGCCGGAATAATCAACGTGAGGTAGGTGCATTAGTTGATATAAGTGTGAAAATACTAGTGTAGAGGTCCAATGGTTGGACTCACCCATTTCTTCACACTCAAAAGGGAAAAGGGATGTTTATATAGTCATCCTTCTTAAATGTTGAAGCTATTGCGAATTTTAACACTACTAGAAGTGACTTGTAGTCCTTTCTCGCCTGCATCTGTATGATTTTATTCATCAAAAAGAGGCTAGAAGATCTGATAGTGTATTTTTTTTAGGCTTCTTTTACAGTGTTTCAGAAATAACAGATATAAAATGAACAGTACATGCCTTGGTATAAATGGATTCAACAAATTGGGACGAGCTATTTTGACTGCCTCGTTTCTAGACCCAACGATCACCGTTACCGCCATCAATGATCCTTTCTTTAATATAGACTTCATGTGCTACCTACTTCGACATGAGTGCCCACATATTGGTAATTTAACCTCGGAGGGGGGGGAATACCTTGTGATCAACGATACGCATAAGATACTGATTACCAATGCACATGAATGCTCTTCAATGAGTTGGGGCCAACAACACGTTGACGTAGTGGTGGAGTGCAGTCGAGTTTATACAACGCGTGATCGTTGTTGGGCTCACCTCGCGGTGGGAGCTCCAACCGTCGTTATTGCTGCACAGAGCGTAGACGCGGCATTGGTTCATATTATGGTGAATGAAGATATGTTGGATAAAAAATTGCCTGTTATCTGCGGCGGTGATCTTATTGGAGCCGTGATGGCGCCTTTTGTGGATATTCTGTTGCGGTATGCGGGTATCGATGAGATCGTGTACACTGCCATTCACGGATCGCTTCCCCTTGACTCTGGTGGTGGTCGTTCCCTAGCTTTTTCAGAGTGGTGTCAAGCGAGATATACTGCATTTGCCTCGGATTCTATCACCTCTTATCGTCATGAAGGTGCTTATACTTTGAACAAATTATTCCCACAATTAAAGGGAAAGATTAGCGGCAATGCGTACCAGGTGTCAACGCATCAAGGTTGTATGGTCGATATATATGCACACAGCACGAAAATTCCATTTCTCGATAAATCAGAACTGAATGAGGTCCTTTTGAAAGCAATCAAGCAAGACAAGTACAAGAATTTTATTGACTCGTCTGCGCCTAATGAAGCGTTATTAAGTGCAGATTGCGTCGGACACCATGAAATCATATATGAACAAGAGTCTTTGTCTTGTATGCCGACATCTAGTACGTACCGAATGCGCCTATGGATGGACTTAGAACGTTGTTATGCAATCGATTTGATTGAAATGATCAAGAGAATCTCAGAGGCTAAAAATATAAATAACATAAACTGATGTAATTAATATTATCCATCTATGTTAGACATAGTATTTCTACTTTGCCTTTTATTTTATTTTTTAGGTGTGCACTTCAATTCATAAACCTAGCTTATGCATTACAGGTGTGTAACATCTATATGGTGACATTCGAATATTTTTATGTAAAAAGCAACTTGTTTTACAGTCAAAAAAATCAGAAATGTGTTTTTGAGCATTTCCCTTTTTTTTTCTCAATTTTTACTTCCATAACTATTTGCACACTCACCATTTGAGTGCGTGATTTTACAATTGATTCTCATCCTGCATTATTCATTTTTTCTCTCTTAGTATTTATTTTTATAATATTAGCATTGAATTATACAAATACTATAATTAACAATTATATCCGTTTCGTATACAATATTCCCTAGGGCTCCTTGATATTTCTATTTCCTCTAATGCAGTCCATAGAATCGATTGTTGCTAAACTAAACCCATTCTACATAGTAGTAACCGCCATTGCCCAGCAGTTGTTCACCATCATTTGGTTTGGGTGGATTATCCATCATATTGAACACTATTACTATGCCGCTGACAAGGGTGTGCGCCGTTCTGAACATGTTATCCAGCGCTATTCCGCTATAATTGTGACCGGAGCCACGTTTATATCTTGTCTGGCACGTTCAGCAGTGGTGCTTGCGCTGGTTTCCACCTTCAAGGCTTCAACACTGCAGGACTATCAAGTGATAGCGCTGGCAGTTACTTTTATCAGTATGATTAGTATGCATCGAGATATCTCCCGCCAGCGCCCTTTTCAGCTATTGGCGACTCAGTGTGTGTATGAAGCTACTGCTACAATGTTAGCAGCGGTTGGGTGCTATTATCTACAACAATACAAGTTTTAGAGAATATATATTTGCTTAAGAGATGAGGGTAAAAGAAATCCCTAGTTAAAAAGTAAAATTTTCTATGTATTATAGTAAACTAATGATATAGGATCGATCATCATTAACCAAAAGAAGCAGAATAAAGGTATATGGATAATTCTACAGTAATTCATATTAACACATTAAAGTGAGTCGAAGTAACCTTTTATCATTTAGTGTGTTTCGAATTTGCATTAATAAAGATTTATACCCAATCGAACTAATTCGATGTGCTTGCACATTCCAAGTTAATTCGTTACTCTTCTATCTTGCTTTCGAGATTTATAATTTTATATGTACTGACTGCAATTGAATAGTGATACTTTCTAGTTGTCTCAAATAGAAAGTCATCAAAGTCCCCAGTGTATTTTTGTGTTTCCTTTTCTGATTGACAATGTTTAGATAATAATGAAAAAAAACATTCCGTAATTGAGTAATGATGTTTTTTTTTTACTACTTTCTGTTTGAGTTTATGGGTGATTCTTCATTTCTATATGTGTATTTCCTTTCCTTGTTATTGGTGTTAATCCTTGTCTGATCCCAATAAAGTGATCAACTTATTTACTGAACTAAAGTGAAATTTTAATGGCCTAATGGAGAATGACAAAAAAATATCGTACATTTTTTTTCTTACCTTGTACAATATTGTTATATTCATTATTGTTTAGTTGAATAATTTCAGACAACGTTTATTCCGCATCTAATAAAAGTAATCACTATTTATAACTCTTTAGAACATAAACTATGTCCAAAGGCTATTGTTGGTTTGATGTTACCATCGGAGGGAAGCCGCTGAAAGAGCGCATCATCATGGAACTCTTTGATGATGTGACTCCTAAAACATGCGAAAATTTCAGACAGTTGTGCCTTGGAAATGACGGCAAAACACTTGAAGGCAGCCATATCCCCATGTCATACAAAGGCTGCACCTTCCACCGTGTCATATGTGGGTTCATGATTCAGGGTGGGGACTACACCAACTACAACGGCACCGGCGGCGCCTCCATCTACGGCGAAAAATTCTCTGATGAAAACTTTGAGGTGGCGTGCGAGAAGGCGGGCCTGTTGGCCATGGCGAACGCCGGCCCCAACACGAACGGGTCGCAGTTCTTCATCACGGCCGCCTCGTGTCCGCACCTGACGGGGCGGCACGTCGTGTTTGGGCGAGTGGTGCGGGGGTTGGACGCCGTTCGCGCGATCGAGCACGCCCCCACCGGCGCAAACGACAAGCCCGAGGAGGACTGCGTGATCGCGGACTGCGGGGTGCTGGACTTGCTTCCCGCCGTGGCGCCCGCCGCGGATGGGGATGCCCACCCTGACTACCCCGAGGACTGCGAGCCACGCCTTACAGACAACGAGCTGATCGCGGCCGGGGAATCCATCCGGCAGATTGGTAACCACCACTTCAAGGAAGGCGGCTTTGAGGCCGCCATCGACAAATACACCAAGGCGAGTCGTTATCTACAGAGTGTTTTGCAGTCCTGCGCTGAGGGGGCTGTCGTGAAGGAGAAACTGGTGGCGTGCCATAACAACATGGCCATGTGTTTTATTAAGCTAGGAGACTTTGGGGCTGCTCGAAGGACTGCCACAGAGGCCCTGGAAATTGACCAAAATAATTCTAAAGCGTTCTTCCGTCGCGGTATTGCTGCTTTAAGCTTGGGCGACGCCGAAGGTGCAGCGGAGGATCTAACGAAGTCTCAATCGCTTGAACCTGAGAATAGGGAAATTACTGCCAAACTCAATCAAGCCAAGGAGGTCATCAAAGCTCGAAAAGCAAAACTTGCCGCCGGGTTGAAAAAGATGTTTTCTTAAAAGACAAATCAACAAACAAAAAAATGTCTTCACAGATAAATTAACATGATGACAGGCAACAGACACCTTCTGGTAACTTTCTGTGATCACACAATCTAACACTCAGAGGTTCAATTATTAAGATGACGGGGAGTAGGGCTTTGTTAGGTATTAGTTATGGGTTGAGTCTACTATATGTTATCCACATTTTTATTAATAAATTCACTATTTAAATTCAATCTATTTTTCTATTTACTTCATACAGAATGTCAATATAACACTTAACTTTCATTATAATTTTGACTGAAGTGAAGGTAAATATAGGTGTCAATCGAATTTAACTGACAGAGGTAGCACCAATAGTTTCTACATTATCTTTATTTCAATGTGTCTTCTTTTTTCCATTTCTTATCCTAATCTACGTTTTATAGATATTTAGAATAACAAGAGCATACTGATATATATTTTATACCTCTTTGCTGCATGACTATAACTCCTGTTGACATCCAGGAAGTCATCCTATTTGTTCATGGAAGATAAAAAGGGTTCTAGACATTGCGGAAAAGAACTGGGGCGACCTTTTGATACTTCTAGTTGACACTGCACCAACCCCATATTCTACTGTAGCAAACAAGGACGTGAAATGGGTTTGCCCTGGCCCACTGGTGGGGTTGAAAAATGCAGATACCAATGAACTTGTAAACAAAGTGGCATTGCTAAAACATTCAGTGGATGACATTTTTATTCCTCAAAGGCTACTTGAGGATGAGAAAGAATTCGAAATATCGTTTCTGGGTGTGAACTAGGCTTTGTTTACAGCTTTATGCCTGAAAGGATTGTATTTCTGGCCACATTTATTGCCTCTTAGTATCGCTTTCATCATATACGCTTTAGTTTGCACCACATAGGGTTTCACTAGTCCATTGCGCCTTTTGTTTGGGGTGTTTGATAACTTAACCAAAAGAACTAATTCAATAAGTCTCGAGTGTGTTGTCCTTATTGGGTTTGTGGGTTTTCATTGAGTTTGTCATTCGCCTTTGCACTCTTCAAGTAGGTTGGAAAATTTGGTACTATTTTTTTTAATGAAATTATCTTTACGACTCCAGTAGTATTTGAGATGTCGCTGATGTGCATCCCGTAGCAATGTCCCCTTCAGGTGAGTGTGTAGCACTACTCGCACCTTTCATGGGTTTGAGCATTCTGGAGTCATGCACAATGAGAGATTTTGTGGTGTCTGCCATCTTGATGCTACTTATAGTTGCGGCAGTACAATGCTAACTGTGTGAGTTGAAATAGTATTTTTTTTATCTTTTTACTTCCCTTAAAGTTAAGGATACCCTGGTTTTACCTTTAAAAATGCGTAAATTTATTTTATTAATGCGCTAACAAAGTAGAGATAAGTGTAAGATAATACACATATTCCTTGTGTAGATTTAGTTTTGTCTCTCACCATGCATAGTTTAAGCCTCACTCGATTTCACAATGATAAGTTGATTCCTTTTTTTTACGTCATAAAGATTTAAGTTTTTTTTTTCATTTCACATATCGTAGAAATTGTATTCTTTACTTTTTTATTCAGGAAACATTTCAGAGATGTCTCAGCCAGAGTTTACTGAAGAGATAGTGTCTGCTAAAGAGGCAGAAAACAATGCGCGTCGTGAAAGACTAATGCGACGCTCAAGCAACATGGCGAATATTATGGATCCACCACCTAATTTCCCACCGGAATGCTGCTGTATAAAACCTTTAATATACCACAACATTAAGCTTCAGATACCTGTTCCCTACCAACGTTTCATGTACACAATATGTGGTTTGTATATTTCTCTGATTGGTCTCATTTTGTACAATATTGTGGCATCAACCGTGGTCTTAATCTATGGTGGCAGTATGATGCACTTTGGATTATCTTGGGTATACCTAGTTGGCTTACCTGGAGGATGGGTAGTGTGGTATTATAATACTTACTTGGTTTTCACAGAAGCTTCATCCGTTCGTCGAATAGCTGCCATTGTCGGACTTCTGGTCGGTGCAGTTTACGATGCGTGGATGGCAATTGGCCTCACTGGGTTTGGTGGATGCGGATGGGTTATTACGATTTTTAGCATACACTCCACGATACCATTCATTTTCTTGTTAGTTTCAGCAATCCTATGGACATTACACGCAGTGACCTTTTTTATCATGTTTTTTCGGTTTATCAAGATCTCTTCTAATATTGAACAGGATAGACGGAACATATACCGAGATATTTAGGTGTAGCATTAAATTTTAAAATAACTCTAATGATCTTTTGTTGAAATTAGTATTCAATACCACGATATTTCGATTATTACTATCGTGTGCATGGTTGCTATTTCTCATAGCTTTATAAAGAAAAATAATGTTAGATAGTTTTGTTTGCGCTTTTTTCCTTGACATGTTCAATGTCGTCATATTTTTTTTGTTATTTATATTTTACTGTACTTTCGGTGATTAATAGAAATGGAGGTTTGTCAGTGCAGTGAAAAGACGCCAATTGGGTCGTCTATTCTCGAAAAGGGGCTTCCCATTCTCATAATATCGTTGCTTGTAGCACTCTTTTGGACTATTTCGTTCCAGTTCATTTGAAAAGGTATTTTACACCTGTAGAAAGGATCCTAATACAGAGTTCAAGTAAAAACATTGATGAACCTCAATCACAATGTTTCACTTGACACTGATACGTCGTCAGTTATATTAGACGACAAAATTGCTAGCTTCGGGGCTTCACAGATAACAAAAGTGGCAATTCCCCAACCCTCAGGGCCGCTTTCATGCTCTATCGAGTCAATCGAAGTTTTAAGCAGACGTTCCTACAACGACCCACACACTGCTGCCTTAGCTAGTGCCGAGTTTATTTTGCCGCAAAGAGTACTCTTGGATAATCAACTGGATGAATCCAAGATGATCAAAGTTATGATTGATGGCGATGATGGTGGTGTAGAGTTCAGCAAAGTCTACGAGCGTATTAACGCCGCCTTGAGAATACGATCCCTCTATAAAAAGGTCGACGAACGAATCCTACCGGAAGAGATGATCCCGCTTCCCAACCTCGTTTCCATCACACAAGAGAAAGGGATTTATCAAATCGCCAACTCTAGCACTACGCTCTGCGCCAAGTTACGCTCTTGGGAGCAGTTCGCGCAGGATGCGAATCAAATGCGTCTCACGGTGAACCATTCCTCCTGTATTCAGGCCTGCAATCACCGTCTGGGAATCATGCAGGAGCGGTCGCGTATGTTTTTCCTCCTGAACGCCGAAATCGAGGAGCGGCAGCACCTGCGGAAAGCAGGCGGGGTGTTCGCGAACGTGATGAAGGTGGACTGCTCAGTCGACCTGGCCAATAGTATGGACGCGCAGGAGCTGCTCGACCACATCTTGAGTACGTGCGAGCGGGATATGGAGGCGAGGGTCCGCCTTCGGGATGGGACCAACCTCACGCTGCGTGAGCTTTTTGAGCGGTATGGGGTGAGCGATCCTATGAAGTTGAGTGTGGAAAGGCTCGGGTGGCAGCCCCGGTTGAACGTCCCGGACCTCGCCGAGCACTCCGTGGATCGGGAAAGCCTTGGGGCGGAGCTCCGGCACGCATTCATGAGCGTCGGCGGCTCCTTGAGCTTGAGGCTGCATAAACATCTTCTGGAACGCGTTCAGAATTCTCGAGAGGCCTCAGAGTTCGCCATTCCGGTTTACGGCACATCCCCACACGAACTTGTCAACCTGGCGGAGACTATGAAGCAGCATGGTATGGGACCATGTGTTTGCATTCGCTGGGTGCTGAGCCTTCGCTTTCTTCAATCGCCCGGCTCTTTTGTTCCTGTCGAGTGTTCAACCATGCAGGAACAGCTGGATTTTTTCTTCTTACCAATATTAAACGCTTCGATTGCACCGACAACCCCTGACAACGCCTCTCTTACGTGGCTTCTACAGCAGGTGGGGGCCATCCAGTTTGAGGGCCTCTCGGAAGGCCCGGAGCCGAACTTTGATCCTTTTCTTGGTGTCCCCTCCAGCATTAAGTACCCTGCCGCGGTTAGCAGTCTGTACTACTTATATTACATCTACTCGAATTTAGCCATTGTTAACCGCATCCGGCTGCGCGCGGGGCTCAATACCTTTCAGCTTCGGTGCAGTGGGGCCCATCGCGGTGGCGTAGATGATGTTATTGGTGGATATATGCTTGGAGACCTTATTACGCGCGCTACGAAGCTTCATAACTATCCGGTTATACAATACCTGTGTGGTGTTCATGGGGTGGGGCTAACCTTATCACCGCTTAGCGACCACATTAACGACATCGTTTCTTATCGACACCACCCTCTCCCAAATTTCTTGCATCGGTGCTTGAAAATATCCATTGCGACCGAGGCTCCTCTGCGTTATCATCATAATCCTAACCCGCTGATTGAGGAGTACGCCACATCCCAAAAGATCTTTCGCTTGAGCGCGCTTGACATGACAGAGTTAGCCCACAATAGTGTTCTGATTTCTTCCTTTCCGCACATTACCAAACAGCAATGGTTAAGCAAGAATTACAAGTTGGGCGCGAAGGGCAACACATTCGAGAAGAGCCAGGTTACCAACGTGCGGCTTAACTTTCGCGAGCAGGCTTGGCAATTGGAGCGCGATATGATGCGGGATCTCTACTTGAATTGTGTGCGGGAAAGCACAGAGGAGCTAACGCGGTGGTCCCTCTTGAGTAATGTCCAGGAGGTGGAGTATAACGCCGTGTGGGATAGTCGTGTTCGCTTCCCGCGCACCGTGTTAAGCGGCTTGTTGAAGAAAAGCCAGGCGGCGGTGATCGCTGCCTCGCGAATCGCCCGCGCGTTGGACCTGCGGCATCGGTACATATGGAAGGGACCGAATCCATGGGAGATGAACCCCGATAATCGCGATCTCGAGGAGGACTTCCAGCGTAAAACGGATACCTTTAACGAAGACGAGTGGACCTATGCTGGGAGTGATGCCGTGTTCATTGCCTTTCCACGTAACGCCGTTCACGCTTGGCCACGCTCGCTACCAACCCTCGAAGCTTTCCATGCTGATCTTCGTGAGCTGCAGGCGATCTGCGCGTCCGCCGAAGTTAAGGAGTTCACCCACAAGCGTTTGGAGAATCTAGACCACAAGTTTAGTCTTCATCTCGCCCTCAACCACGCCAACGAGGCGGGTAAAACGAAGGAGCGTGCGTCCTGCAATCGCGATATCTATCAAGCTACCAAAGTCGATACCCATATACACATGGCTGCTGGGATGACGCCGAAGCAAATTCTCAAATTTGTGTTGAAAAAATTTCATGGGAGCTCTGACGACATAGCTATGAAGAAGGGTGATGAAATCCTAACGCTTGGCCAGATATTCGCGAAGTCCGGGATCACCAACAGTTTGTCTGTGGATCAGCTAAGCGTTCAGGCGGATCACACCTTATTCGAGCGCTTTGATAATTTCAACAATAAGTACAACCCAATGGACAACAGCGATCTCCGCTCTTTACTTCTTAAGACGGACAATTTTATGAATGGTCGCTACTTCGCCGAAATTATCCATGATGTATTTAACCAGTACTCAAGGGATCAATACACGTACGCCGAAAATCGTGTCTCGGTGTATGGTATAAATATTCACGAGTGGGAAAAGCTCTCAAATTGGTTCTCAACCTATGGTCTGAACAATAAGCACAATAAGTGGGTAATTCAGGTGCCGCGGGTGTACAAAGTATTTCGTGGGCAGAACGTCATAGGCAGCTTCGGACAATACCTCCAGAACATTTTTCAACCTCTATGGGAGGCCTCACTACACCCATCCGAGCACCCGATGCTGCACAACTTTCTCAAGTATGTAAGTGGCTTCGACTCTGTTGATAATGAGGCGACCATTGATCTCTCTTTTACCCTAACCTCACCGTGGTCGTGGACTTCAATTGAGAACCCGCCATATTGCTATTACTTGTACTATTTATACGCCAACTTACGGACCTTGAACGAGTTTCGAGCCTCTCGAAGCTTCACGACGTTTTCTTTCCGACCACATTGCGGCGAATCTGGTGCGAATGAGCACCTTTACGGGGCCTTCCTCTGCGCCAACAGCATTTGCCATGGAATCAACCTTCGGAACGACCCACCGATGCAGTATTTGTATTATCTCGCGCAGGTCGGTCTACACGTATCGCCTCTTAGCAATAACGCGCTTTTTCTGCGGTTTGTGAACAATCCTTTCCCCGATTTCTTTCGCCGAGGGTTGAATGTTTCGCTGAGCACGGATGATCCGATGATGTTTCACCACACGCAGGAGCCGCTCATTGAGGAGTACAGCATCGCGGCGCGGGTGTGGGGTCTGAGCCCGAACGATCTCTGTGAGATCGCGCGGAATTCGGTCCTGCAGTCTGGATTTAGCTACGACTTTAAACGCGAGGCGATTGGGAATTACTGGTTTATGTCCTCCTCTATTAGCAATGAGCCCTGGCGAACGCACCTCTCGGACATTCGTGTTGCCTTCCGTTTTGAAACCTACCATACTGAAATGCAACAACTGGAGGCTTATTGTAGACGCCCGATATTTCGCTTTATGCTCACATCAGATGAAGAGCGAGATATCATTGCTAAGAATCTACAGAATGATACCGATGAGATGGTGATCTTGTCTACTCGAGATCAGGCCATGGAGATGGTGCTGCGCGAAATTGGGGATACTAAGGATCAGATTTCCTCCGCCAAGCGTCAGTTTAGCTCCTTACATCGGCAGGAACGAGCCCTGATTAATAACATTACGGAGTTTGGTGCCCAGCGCAAGAAATCTGAAAATGAACTCCAAAAGATAGCCGCACAAGAGATACTAAAATACAAGAGAGAAAATATGAGTTCAGATTCTCTGCCACCGGTCTCTGCTTTTAAAACTTCAGAGCGCCTAACCATGGAGAGGCTTCTTAAATGGCGACCGATGCAAGCAAAAACGCTAAGGGACGTCACGGAAAAGAGGTATTTACTCCCCCATAAAGGGAGACCACTCCCTCCACTACAGTAGAGACTAGACGTTTGCTCAATTTTTTTGATAGTAATGAGATGCTGAAAAGGGACAAGTGAAGTTTACGTATGTGGCTTTACTTCTGTAGTTGTTTAACGCTCTCAATACTCTTTCTTTCCATTTTTTGATTCTACAAACTATTTGTATTCAATTTTATCTATTTTTGGATATTTTATGTTTATTTAGCGTTTCACTTCACATATGAATATTCATAGTGTTTGTGATTCTTTATTTTTGCTGCCGCACGTTGTGATGTGTGTGTGTGTGCAGCTCATCAACATCAAACTGATTTCCCTACATTTTTCCAATGGAGGACTTCTAAACAAATTGGATACAGTGTGGGGATAGGGAATAAGGAGCGTTGCGAAAAATAAGTTCCTTTTTTTTGTGTGTGTCTTTTCATTCTCATTAACTAAAATACTTTTTCTTATTTCACGGTTCATTTATATATATATATTCTTGTTGCGTTTTTCGGGGTTACATTTATAAATAATTATAGGATAGTATCATTAAAACGTGTTTTACTTTCATATCACGATAAATAAAATCTCTTTTTGGAACTCATCCAACAACTGAAACTTCAGTAGCACAGGGTGACGGCTCGGAAATAGGTGAATCCACTGGCAACATGTGGAGCTGCTCCATTTGTAGTAAATCCAATTCGGTAGACGCGACCTACTGCGCGGTATGCCTTTACTCGCGTCCGATGGATAGGCACGGCGTGCCGCAAATCTTCGCCGGATATGCCATTCACTTCAATGGCGTAATTCCGCGGACGATTTTGCATCCCAGCCATTCCATCGAGTGGCGTATGGTCGAAAGACATGGCGCGGTCTGTATTCCTAAATTCGACCCGGTCACCGTGAATCTGCTGCTTTATCGCCAGGGCTACGAGCGCAGTGAGAAGTGTCGGTTATGCGTAGAATACCACACCCACATCCCGGCGGTACCGATTACGTGGATGATGGAATCGTTGATGCAATCGCGGCAGATCCGTCCAGCGTTATACCGCCTCAATTCCATTCCAGCCTTGGCGGGCTCCTCCATGATTGGAAATGTGATCCCTCACCATAATCATCCATACTACCACCTCAACAAGGGCGACTACGCGATTCCGACATCCTTTCCTAGAAATAATTCACTCAATTCAATGACCTTTCCTAGTTCAGCGTCGAGGAATGGAAGTTTTGATTCAAAGCTCCACTTGAATCCCGTCGGGGATGTGAATATGCCGTCCCCTTTCGATGTCGACCCGCCACTTTTCACCAATGTGGGGGTGTTTGATGCCGTTGTCGGCTGTACGGAGCGCGCGAGCCACGCCCACACCGTGATAGATACCACCAAAGATAATTCTATACCAGGGGCACGTAAAGGCAAGCCCGAAATTCACCTGATCCAATGTATGCAGAAGCATAATGTTATTAATCCGATCCTTTTTACTGGAATAAGGGCCGTCTTATCGCCTTCATTGGAAAAATGCAAGACCGTTTTGAAGGCACTCCAGGCCTGTGGGGCGACTGTCATGAGTCCTTGCGCTAATCTTGAACAGGCGCTTCGATCCGGTATCACTCATATCATTTACTCCCACGATGATAAAAAGTCCGACTTTATGATCGCCTCTGCCTATTTGAAATCATCAGCGTTTCATAATGTACAGTTGATCCAATCAAATTGGTTAGAAGATTGTTTATTGGTCGGAGAAAGTATTCCCGCATATGGAATGTATGTACCTACGGTGAAACTCATGGAAACACTTAATAAAAAAGGTGCGAAAAGGGATATCAAGCGATATCTTGTTAGTACAAAGTAAAGATTCAAGCACGTATTGTAGTGTACAGTACTATATATATATATAAATATATATATATATCTTTTTGTGTTTGCTTTTATGACTACTTTCCATCATTGCCAAGGAAACTTTATCTATATTTATAAAGTATTTTTCTATATCTACGACAGATATGCTGTTCTTCATTAATATGTCTCTGATCTTCTTAGTCTTCTCTCGTATAGCACCTAAACTAACAAGCAACTGAACAAAATAATATCTAGTGAATTTTCCATAATTATTATGCTCATTTTTCTTGTGTTAATACTTTTATTTTTTATTTTTATTTTAGTTACGTCGGCTTCCCATGCTTTTGTATTTAAGTTCAATAAATACAAGGACAGCCTGTGGTATTTTATATGGAACAATGATATCCCAGAAGAGTTTCATGGCAGCAACTGCATCCGCGTGGGTACATTGGGTCCCCAACAGGAAGACACGCAAAAAATTCGTATAGTATTCATTCGCCATGGTCAGTCCGTCTGGAATTCTGTCTATAACGAGAAGAATAGAGATTTGCCCTTCAACATCGTGCGTACCCTCCTTCTTGAGATAAGGTATTTCTTCACCCAGCCGCTCGCATCCGGGCTTATCGACTCACCTCTCAGCGCGGAAGGAATCCAGCAGTCTAAGGAACTGGCGAATTTCATGCAGGGGGCGGAGGGAAGGATCTCCTTCGATACCTCGACTTCTGTGATTCTCTGTAGTAATCTGCGTCGTACCATGCAGACCGCGCTTATTGGACTTGACCCACGTCTCAAGTTGTCGGGGGAGAAAATTGTGGTTAACTCTGCACTACAGGAGGGATCCCGATTCATTGATACCCATTCTTTTTCCTCAGAAAGCGGTAAAATGGCACCCATGACATTCCCAGGCTTTGAAGACCCCGCGAAGGTGCTGAACATGTTTGATGCCCGCCTAAATAAGGGAAATAAGTCGATCGAAACGGATCTGAACGGGCGTTCGGATATTTTTTTGTCTCACACCTTCGGTGGGACCATCGTGCCGGCTATTTCTGGTGAGAATGGAGCTAAAAACCTGAACGAAATCATTGTTGTCGGGCACAGCATATTCTTTCGTAATTTTTTTAAACGCTTCCTGCCAAGGAATTCTTCGCATATTGCCAAAAAATACAAGATGGAGAATTGCGCTGTAGTTGCATTTGATTTAATTCGAAATGTATCAACAGGGGAGGTAGTTATTGATGAAAATTCCATTAAACCGCTTTATAAGGGATTCATTAAGACATAGAGGGCTCATAATGGAATTTAATAATACCACTTTTCTATGTGATAAAACTACTGAAGATGTTTTTTACGCATGAGGTGCAGATAGCTTTTCGTTTTTTTTTTTGATATGTTGCTTTAAGTGAACATTTTTGAGAATAGTTGATTTTATATTCTTATCAATCTAAGTTCTTTATTGATCTTAGTTTTTTATTTGCATTTCAAAGCCAAATGGTATTTTATGTATAGTAAAATAAGTCTATACCACCCCCTTGTTTTTTAGATTATCCTAACAAAAGAAAAAATGAACAAAAAACTCTACAGGGGTTGCAATAAGGTGTCCTTAGACTGGCAATTTTTCTAAATACTAAAATTACTAATAACAAATAAGGTTATGGTGTTATTTTATAAAATTGGGAATATATGTCGCTATATATGATGGGTTTCAGGTAGGAAACTTTTACTCATAACTTTGGCAGAAAATCTAGGTAAAATAAGGAAATCTAAAAATATAAAGTGTGCCTTAAAAAAATGTTGTAAGGGTGCCTTTCCTAGTGTTTTGTTAAAAATATTTATATGTCCCATTTGTAAATTATTTATCGACAATATTTAATTTGTTAGGGATTTAATAAATATCCAAACATTTGGAAATAATAGGATGAATTTATGCATTTTTTCACCCATTTTTTATTATTTTTAATTTAAGATTTTCCAATTGTTACGACCCTTCCCCATATGACACAAATGCTTTTCTTCCACCCCAGAGTGATGTTGCATATTTTCCCGTATGTGTTCTTCAATCCATCAACATTCTCCCTGTCTTTTTCTTGTCTGACTTATTTTTTTAAAAAAAGGAGTGGGGGTGGGGACCTTCTCCATCACGTTTTTTTGTATTCTTCCTATTGGGCCGTCAATGTGGCGGGTGTTTCAGGTTCAGGGCCGGAAAAGGGCCGGTTTGGCTGCCGCGGTGGGTTTTTTAAAGGCCCCCCGGCGGGGCCTCCACGGCCGCCCCGACGACGGCCCCCCGGCGGCGACGGACCAGCGCACGCGGGGCCTCCCCCCGCAGGAGCTTCTTCGAGAGCTTCGTAGTGAGAAGGCCGAGGAGGGAGAGATCACCATCCCCGGGGACTCCTTCGGGATTATGCGCAATCGCGTGGTCTTTTACCGCCCCATCCCACGCCAGAGGGCCGGGGGGGCGATGGGGCGGCTCATGCCGGAGGACA